TTTGATACATCGTGATACCAGACCTGAACCCTCGATAAGATGTTCCACATTGAGGGGTGCGACGAGACTGCCTTCGGCGCCGGATCACAGGAGCGAGGCACGATTGAGGATAGATCCAAAGGTGTTGGTCTTCGTCGAAACTTTATATTCCAGGCTGGGACGAGAGATAGCCGAGCTACTCGTTTATAACCGAATAAAGTGAGTACGCGACTAACCTCGTAAACGTTCGCGTTCTATAACCCGAAAACTTCGAAGGTCAGCTTTGAAAATCCAGCGATAAAAAGTCCGACGAACTTTCTGTTCCCTTGAGCCTCTTACATTCGTATAAAGAATTTCTATTTCTTTTTTAACCTCGGTACATAGTTGATAAATACCCACCACCATCATTGCAACCATCACTTTAGATTATTATTTCTATTCGAAATGAGAAAAAAATATTAAAACGTGTTATGATTTATAATCGTCGAAAATCTTTTTCAATTAATTAAGCGAATCATTGAATATACATATATATATATATATATATATATATATATATATATATATATATGACCAACTGTTAAAACTTATAATTAACTTATACCTACATTAAAGTATATACACAGACATACATTCTATCTCGTCCATTAAAATCCAAAGAGATTAGAATCGTGACAAACAAATTAAATAATTTTATTTTAGCTCATATATCGAATAGAAAGAAGAAAGAATGAGGGAGGAGGGGTGGGATGTCGTGAATGTGTCTATATTCCTTCTAAAAATCTTTCGAAGGAAAAATTCAAAAGTAGATATCTAAATCAGTTCCTTTTAGCTCTTAGAAAAAATTCAAAGCAATCGTAGATGCATCGAACTTTAACAGATACGATCGCACAGAAACACAACGATCTATTTTCGTAAAAGTCGATAAGAAGATTTCAGAAAGGGATATGGAAAAATTTAAGTTAAACCTCTTTTCGGATATTTCACGAGCAATGAAATAATAATGGCTGCCAATATGGGATAATGCACGACTTTGATTTGTAATTATCGGAAATGGAAGCAGGTGACATGAGGAAGGTGAGAAAGAGGGATAGAAAAAGAGAGAGAAAGAGAGAGAGAGAGAGAGAGAGAGAGAGAGAGAGAGAGAGAGATGAAAATCGCGTTTCCAAAGATATAAACGATGGATGGATGGATGGAAAAGAACGATAAAAGGAGATTGCAAAAGATAGAAGCATAGAGAGAGAGAGAGAGAGAGAGAGGGAAGATAATGAAAGGGTGACGAGAAGGAGACAGAGAACGGTATGACGAACATGGGAGTAGGGAAATTGACAGAGATAGTTTCCACGGTATAAAAGAAAAAGAAAAAGAGAGATGAGAATAAGCCATCGGATAATCGGAAAACCAACCAACGCATCTACACGAATAGGCGAACACGCAAACACGCACACAAAAGCTGATCTCGAATAAAGCCGATGGACTCTCGTTCGCTTTATCCGCTGCAATTTCATAATCGATAATCGTGTCTCGGAGGTAGGAGACCGTAGCATATAGGTAACGTTGTCCACCAAATGGAAAACATTCCTGTCTACCTATACGCGCGTGCACACACACACACACATGAGTGCACATATATATATATATATACATATATGTAATACCAATACTTTCTAGTTCCATCCATACGCGTATCTACTTGAACGAGCGTGGATCGACGCCAGGGAAAGTTTGTTATCGAAGACTGTTAGCTTCGGATTCTACACTAAACTCTGAGTTACGTTTTAGTATCGGACCGAAAAATGTCACGCGAACAAAAAGAAAGAAAGAGAAAGAGAGAGAGTGAGAGAGAGGGAAGATGGGAGAAAGAGGGTTTGGGGAATTGCTAGTATAGCTCCGAATTAGAACTCGTAGTACGAATGGATCGCGTAAATTCGAGGATCGCCGTGAAAATAAAAAGTTGACGCGGAGATTGTACGCCAGGTTTGGAATGCTTTTACCGTGTACGTCTACGAATAGTGGAACGCGGATGAATTGTTCCTTTACCAAACTACCGAGAGAGTCCTGGAAAATTAATGGTACGAGCTTCCGAGGCTTTGTCGCGAATTTAACCACGCTCTCCAATTGGATACCAACAGTATACTGTGTTACTTGTTCGAACGAGATCATTTTTTTTTATTAACGTCTTCTACGCCCTTCCTATTTACCTAAAGACCTATTATTATTTCGAAGTTATTTCTATTTTGATATTGACGTTACAATATTGAATTTCGATAATTAGATTTTCCCAAAGGATCCTATCAAAATTTAAATCATTCTAATAATTCTCATTGATCGACAGCAAGATTTAATATAAATAAAACTATTCAATTCATTTTATAGTTTTCAATCATATATATATATATATATATATATATATATATATATATGAGTGACGTTATAAGAGAGTAATGATTTATTTATAAATCAACCCAATAATATCCGTGCTTTTAAAACTATTTTAATCATAACGGTACATGGCACAAATTGACAGATCCACCATAGCCATAACAATTTCAATAATAGTCATAAAATAAAAATGCATAAAGACTTCATATTAACCATAACAACCGGTGCAAACCTTGACATGCATTATTTATAAATTAGCATGCTTTTATTAACTAACATGCTATAAGATTAATGAATTCTGTTAAATTGAAATCCTTTAGAAACTTACTGTGATTTATTATACTGACTTGAAATAATTGGATATTACTTAGTCAGCATCTATGAATGTTCATATTTTATATTCATTTTAATTTCCAACGTGAATTTCAAATACAACCTGTATATAAAATATTGTACATACCCGTATTTGAGGAATTTTTAAATGCTTTATATTACAAACAATGGATCAACTAGATAAAAAGAATAAAATTGTATATCCATAAAGGGCATATTAAATTTTATTATATATCGTTTACCATATAAAACACGTAAAACAAAATCAAATTTTTGAAAAACATTTCTGGCACGCACCTGCAATGATATATTTTAAATGATTACACATTTTATAAGCCAATTTTACAATGCAAATATATCTGTAATATAATAATAAAAAAAAATAATCAGAAATATGCAAAGTCTTAATGCACGATATTAATTAAACCAATGTGTCTAAAGGTCCATTGCATAATAAAAATAATTTTATTCTATGACAAAGTAAAAAGTCTTTTGAATGGGTTTGATATTTTATGAAAAATTACGAAACTAGATCAAAGCAGTCATGCTTGATAATTATTATAAAATGTTTATGACGACAATGTATAAAACCTGAGGCAAAATTTTCCATTCATGAATAAAAATTACGATATCGTGGTATCCTTGTGCGATATCTATTTATATAAAATTATCATCACATTCTTGGAGATGATAATCTATATTTACCTATCTATCTATCCACATATATATATATATATATATTTATTTATTTATTTATTTAAACAAAATATATATATATATATAATTATATATATATATTTATGCAAAAACATTTCTACGAATATGCACGTTCCATGAATCTCAAGCATATTGTCAACGTGTGGAAGCCTACTAAGAAAATATACCCTAGGGCACCACCGTCACCAGTTTGATATACGCCTTATTAAACTTAAACGTTAATGAGGGTTACCTAGTAATTTGGCCGTAATCGACTGACAAGGTTAATGACTATTTCATAATTAACTACTTTCCAAATATGTACTAGTATATAATAATACTAATACATGTATATAAGTAATAATACTTTATTTAATATATTTTCTTATGCATTCTAATACGATTAGGGTAATATTAAAAACGATTACGTAGTATATATATATTATCATAATTTTTCATTAGTAGTCTTGATATTCATATTCGCGAATATTTTCCTCGTATCAGTGAGGAAATCAAAATCATTTCTACGACATATCAATTAATTAAAACACGTCGCGCTTATATCCGTAAATTATGATATAAAGTATGTTGAAATATTACCCGTAAACTTTTAATAAATTCAAAATGATAAAATAATTTAACGAGAAATAACAATTCACGTACTATCAATAATTACGTACTGTTAATTATTAACGTTATCGTCAATTGTAACAAGAGATGACTCTTAGTCTGTTAAAAAAAAAAAAAAAAAAAAAAAAAAAAAAGAAATACACGTACGAAAAACGTATAAATTATGAAAGGAGAGAAAAAACGTAGTGCACTCACGAGTAAACCCACAAGAGGATTTGCTTATGGTCGTATTCGTCAATAATAAATTTAAAAAAATTACACTCAATACTCATGTCGATCGGGACCTTTCATTTTCAACACGATGGGTACCCGAGGGAGTTTAGATTTTTTACTCGCTACTATTAGAACATTCTCTGATGGTTTGCAAACATTCGTCCGTATTGTAGATCGAAATAGTGCTGGATTGATTCGCGCTAGGTTAAAATTGAGGTACATGCATATATACATGCATATATACATGCATATATACATAGATCGAACATCGAAGTTGCTTTAAATCGTTATAGATTGAAACTATTGTATATGGAAATGACGACGAAACTGCAAAAATAAAAAAAGAAAATATGATCTGAAAAGAGGAAGTGAGAGAGAGAGAGAGAGAGAGAGAGAGAGAGAGAGAGAGAGAGAGAAAGAGAGAGAGAGAGAGAGAGAAAGAGAGGAGAAATTTCGTATATAAATTTATTCGTAATGAAAAAAGAAAAAAAGATTGTAAAATGATTTGATTATGAAATTTCAAAAATTTACTTACCAATATTCTTCTTTGAATGTAACATAATATATTTATCATCTTCGATAATACGCAACAATTATTTATTAATTATTTATTAATTACAATATTTGAATATTGAATCTCATTTGCGAGATAATATATTTTTATATGGATTAATACATTCTGTGCGATTGTTAAAATAAAGAATAAACAAAAACAAAAAAAAAAAAAAAGGAAAGAAATGAAAGCAAAGAAAAGAAGAAAAAAAAAAGCGAGAAAAAAAACAATATCAGAATGAACATTAATTCTCTAAACACTTTTCGTACAGTCAATTAAAATGTATTTATTATATATGCTTTGAAAAGTCAATATATAAAATCGTAAAATGCGCGAATAAATTTTAATTAACTTAACAAACACTAAACTCTGTTTTCTCCACGATAACTTTTTTTATTTTATCGATACGACG